TACTCCTGCTTAACGCTCAGCAAATTAGGAGTGGGACGACTGGTTCGCCCGTTGTCAGTATAATGTGACCGGGTGGGGCGTCCTGCTGGGTGTCTTCGGCAGTATGTTTCAGTGAGGTAGCACTATAAAGTCGGCATCAGTTCCGCGCTATTACAAGAAGACAAACACGAACATATCGCAGCCTCCCAAAATACACACACATACACTACATGCATGCATCTTGCACACAGGGGAGGCCGTCCTTAAATGACCTTAGCTGTTAATAGGACGTTAAACAAAATCAAACAAACAAACAAACAAACTGATATTTTGCCTGCAGCTGTATTTTAGTCCACTTTTAAGATTACAAGTGTGATATTAATACCATGTGAGCGATGCAGGCCCATTGGGCCTCTTGTTATATCTTATTCCATACATCAGTAAATCTGTGTTGATGTTTCAGGTCGTGTATACCTCTGGGTCCATGCTACAAATGAAGGTCCATGCTGAGGTGGTCAATGTGGTGGACTGTACTCGAGCCACTACCAACAACTTCTACTTCACCTTCGACACACGACAGGACCAGGATGTTCCTGCAGTGTTACCAAGGAGTTACGCTGGTATGTCGTCTCACGTTTTATGTGTTGGCTTATGGCAATCTGGAATGGTCTTAAATGGCATATGAAAAAATCAAGCTTATAAAGCAATTATTGATATAAAATAAATGTTATAAGTTCATAGCTGTTAACCTTCCCTCATTTTGATCAAAAATTACCAATCTCCCTCATTCAAGTTCAAACTCTAACAAACTAAAAATCTACATCCTGTGGTCAAATGATCTTCTAGTTACTGCAGGGTGTGTGTAACGATCATAACAGGTGTGTCTGAATCAAATCAATGCTTTTTGGAGTTATTTTGATACATAAAAGGCAAAGGTAAATTGAGCAAAGCAACTTCAGTTGTGTTTCACACACATTCTCCCTCATTGGAATTTTGGAATCTCTCCCTCATTGAAGATTTCAGAGGTTGACACCTATGTTAGTTGTGTGTATTCAAAATCACCTGATCAGTCAAGTGGTATGTACAACTACACCAGAAAATATCAGTGTGATAAACACCGAATTATGCTTAATAAGCACAAATCTTAATGATATTTTCACTGCAATGACAGTTCCTTTCTTAATCCATAAATTTGTCAGAGGTACCAATGATATTATTTTGAAAATACGTTTTGATTGAAAATCTATTAAGTTTAGAAAAGAAAGTCTCATACTATTGTCTTTATTAAATAAAGTGTAATCCAGATTCATGGTTGATACACAAATGATTGCAGTTATAACTAGCCAGAAAACATTATATACTGTATATATAGTTGGTAATATTCGTGGGGGATTTTATTTCACTAGATTCCCAGTCAACAAAGATAGCGTGAAATTAAATACCAAGCAAATATCAATACAATGAATTATAATCTCCATGAATATACTATATAAACAGACATAAAAGAAAAAAAATATCTGTCATCATTTACTGTTGAATGATAAAGATAAAATAATTCAATGTTGCATTAAAATATAGCACAACACCTGATTATAAACGTACCTTTGTGAGTGCTATTATCTATTAACTATTATAAGTTGCTAGAGTCATCATTGACAATAAATAATTCTGTGTTGCAGAATCAATGCTTTACCTGGATGGAAAGAGACACTTTGGAAGCTGATGACATTCTGGTTGGTGATTGTGGTATAACTGTGATACTTATTGGAAATCCAAAATAAAATGCCTTTACTTCACACACCACCAAAGAATCGTAACGCCATTTGTATCCACAAACTGCCCTGTCCTGACAGTGAAGGCAGTGATAAATCTGATAAGGAATTTGTAAGCCATTCTATTTATACATTTAGATATCATGTTTTATTTAGAGAATAATTCTGTGTAGCAGTTTAACGATGTGTATACATTTTAGTACTTCATCAGTTAATTAGTAAGAATTTTACTCTCAGGTAAAATCTTAGTCGTTGAGTTTTACCATGAAACGATCCAAATTGACTGAAACAATGAAAGAAAATATTTCATGTTAAACAATAACATTTTATTTTGAAATATTTGGAGCATTATATGGTATAGATACCATATGTAACTGCTAGAAACCTACTTTTATTAAGTGCATTTATAACATTGTCAGCAGTAAGAAAATGGTGGGCACTTCGGCATATTATGTTGATAAGTATACGTATAGCTCCAGGAATGAAAGGTACTCTCAAGCTTTTCTAGTAAAACAAGTACCTGACCCCGGATCCAAATTTGAACCATTTCTTTCCATGGTTGTGTTTCCTTCCTATAAGGTCTATGGGTTGAACCCCTTTACAAATCTGGTATGTGTTTGTTTATTGCTTTCTAAACAGTTGGACTAGAGTTGTTCGTTTATGAAATATGGATGGACCTATTGATTTGATGTTGTTTTTCTGATAAGCCTTGGCAAAGACCTGCATTAACATTTGCAGGATTGTCAGGTTTTACTCCTGAAATATTGTATTAAAATAATGGATAAAGCAGTTGGTCCACACAAATGAAAAGGCCCCTGGAGTGCAAGATAAATATTTTACTGGAATAGTCATCATTGAAATTCTGTGGTCAAATTTCATCTCCATTATTATGGGACCAGGGTGGGATATTTTGAATTGGAAAAAGAAAAATTTTGGGAGAATGAAAACTGCATTATTTTGAGACTATAATTTACATTTCATGAACAATTATTTTTCACTGTTGTTATAGTTTGATGTATGTCGATATTCTACGCAAAGCAACTTATGTTAATACTATATTTCTTGAAACTTTTGATATATTTGTGTCTTATGAACCCTGCTTGATAAATACAATGTTTGCAGCATTTTTGTTTCATTTTTTTTTGAAAACCATAAAACCAATGTTCAAACCTTCTTTGTACTTGTGGTAGCTATATGCTGTAAGTTTGTTTTCATAATTAGATTTATTCTTATAGCATTTTTACTGCAAGCATTTAAAATAGGGTAATATTCATCAAATCATTTATGTTAAGAAATAATCTCTTTACTTAAAATTGTTGATAAACTGCATGAAATCTAATTGTGTAACATTTGAGAACTGTGAAATATAAGAACAGTCATGTACAGCATGTGTGGCTGAGTAAGTTTTTTTTCTTCCATCCATCCAAAAATCACATCTGTGCTAAATTCATGATTGCACAATATATGCTGACATTTGCTGTAAAATTACACATTTATTGATGTACTGATTTACTGTAGTACACCACTAGGAATTAAGATAAAACCAGCATTTGAGATTTCAAAACGTAACTTAGCTGAATTTAATTTGTAATCAACATTTACACATATGCTAAATGCATGTACGCTTCTATTATAAGGTCAAAATATTCTCCACAAGCTGGTAACTATTTTGGTCTAGAGAGAGAGCAATATTTTTTTAATTATTTAAATTCAAATTATGCAGAGATACATGTGTATTTACACTTTCGCAAAACTTTGAATATTTTTATACCTCAAGTTACAAATGTAAAGCATTTCCAAAAGCACTTCATTTTACAGTGTGTGGTCAATTTTTAGCTCACTAGCTCACCTGGCACGAAGTGCCAAGTGAGCTTATGCCGTGGCGTGTCATCCGTCGTCTGTCCGTCCGTCCGGCGTCAATATTTTACTTTAAACAACTTCTTCTTAATAACCGAAAGGCCTAGGGTGATGGTATTTGGCCAGAAGCAAACTGGGATGAAGGGCTACAAAGTTTGTTAAAATTAATGACCTTCACCCATTTTCAAGGTCACAGGGGTCAAAGATGTTAAAAACTTTAAACATCTTCTTCTCGATAACCAAACTGCCCAAGGAGATGATAATTGGCCAGTAGCATGCTTGGGTGAAGGGCTACCAAGTTTGTTCAAATGAATAACCTTCAATTATATTCAAGATCACAGGGGTCAAATTTGTTTAAAATCTTTTAAACGACCTCTTCTGAATAACCATGGGTCCCAGGATGTTGATACTTTGCAAGTTGCATCCCGAGATGAAAGGCTATAAAATTTGTTCAACATAATGACTTTGTTCGACTTTCAAGGTCACAGGGATGAAATGTTTTAAAAAAAATTAACAGGTTCTTTTGAATGAATTTTAATCACAAATACTGATATTATGCTTGTAGCTTTACTTTAGATCACTTTTAAGGTTACAAGTGTGAGATTTATACCGGGTGAGCGATGCAGGCCCATTGGGCCTCTTGTATTAAGTTTTGTATTGTTAGGAAACAAATTGTCATAAGATATTATCATAAACAATACTGTAATAGTTTTTACAATGTACTTAAGTTAATGGAGTATTCACATGTCTTCAATGTTTTTGCTTATATGATATTTCTGTAAATATAAAATTCTAACACTGTCTTGTACAGGTGTATTGTTTTTAATGAATATTACCTGTTATAGTAATATAGTGATAACAATGAACAGAAATGTGAGATTTTTCTTTGATTTATTTTGAATTATTTAATTTTACATGTGGCTTTGTGTCTGTAAGCAAGATATTATCAGCTAAAGGAGTCACATGATAAAAAGTATTTTTTTTTTATTATTTTCCATTTAATATGAGATTTATGAAACTCATCAAAAAGGTATCTTTTCACTTGATAAAAAAAATTCTTAACTCGTTTCTTAATTCTTATATGAAATGAAAACTTGTTTCATACATCCTATAATTATACAATAATATAAACACATTGATTATAAAAAAATCACTTTTATTTCGTTTGTTTGTTGCCCGGTAGTGATTTTGCAGTAGATTACAAAACTTAAAACGTAATACATAATCTAAATTTAGCTCCATTAGTTAATCATCATTTGTAGTGGTTTTTGTGGGATTTCCTCTTAAAAGTCGTGAATATCAATTTCAAAATGTTGATGAGTCCCATTACTGCGAGTTATACCTGTAGTGGGTTCTCTATAATGTGAGCGAGTCCATCAGGAAAAGCACAAGATTTGTAAAATTCTAGATACTTGACGTATATTTCTAAGTCTGGAACGCTTTTAGAAAGGAGAAGTTTGCAGCATTATTTTAAAAATCTGAATTTTCATATCAGGTCATTCCTGTTTAATGCTTCTGAAAATTTTCTGAATTGTCAACTTTTAGTCTGTTAATATATTCGTATAATTGTTTTAGTTTATATGTCAATAAAATATTATGGACTTTATCACAAATCTAAAACATTTTACAAAAATGAAAACTGGCTACAAACATTTCTGCCACATGAAACCATGCAAAATTTGAACAGCAAAATTTAGTACTTTATTGGGACCTGACTTTTCAAGGAAGTTCCAGCAAGTCTACATCCGTTACAGGTTTATTAATAAACAATATTCCATGACTCTCTTTACAAGAAAAAGAATAACGGTAAAAATACCCAATTTAATTACAGCATGACCCTACTTATAAAAAAGGTACAACAAATGAAAGAGGCACCACAAACGGATAGAGAGGAAACAAGGACGGTCTGCTGGTAGCTAGTCTGATCAATATTTTGCAAAAAACATTTTTTTACATTACTCAAAAAGACAACCTATCGTCATATACAGTTAAATAAAACACAAGTTCTTGGAAAAGGGCCATCTATCTTAGTTCATTTACTTTCTGTCTACATGGCAACTTTAGGCCTGGTGACGAATCATTTAGGCGAAGAAAATTAAAATCCCATGGTTGAAGCAAGAAACAAAATTATGAAAAATGATTAATTTGAAAAGCAATATTTAAATAGAGGTTCATCAAATTTCATGATCAGATTCATCTGACACCATAGTACATTTATATATAAACAGGAACGTAGGCAGCAAATTAAAGCTTTATAAATTTTCACCACAAACATTTCATGACAAACCTGGAGCAATCTGCTATTATAAAGGTGTGTAAGGAATATGAAGTTCTGCTCTCAGATTGCAGAATTTGTGTCAGAACCTCATAATTCCCTCAAATAGTGTTCCTATACTCCACACATTAACCAAACAATGATAGTGAGACGAGTAGCTACCACATTTTCACACTCAAATGACACCACATTAGCTGGGTTTTCAACACTATTCAACACCATGTGCTTTGGTAAGATTATGTTGCAGGTTGGCAGAAAACTCAAATATACAATTTTAGAATAAACAGTTACCAGAATTTTGAGTTCATATATATTATAAACAAATATTTTTTTAGGGAAGTCCATAAAATTTTGAATATGGCAGAATGTGAAAAAAGATTGAGGGTTAAATAAAAACAGGTTTCACCATAACGGGTAAACAGACAAAAAAGTGTTCACACTGACTGACCATGAGGCACTGAAAGCAAGTGTTACAGACATTTGCCCGAAGAACTTGATAAGTCCAGAACTATCTCTGATACTATCAAAAGTATACTTTGACAAGATTCTCATTTAATTCACACATAAAACCTGATCATTAAACATTTCAATTAAATCACTTAAACATGTAACTCCTTAAAAAGGCACTGAGCTACAAGAAATGACATGGATGATCAAACATGGGATACAAGTGAACTACTGTGACTGACTTATCCTACAGTTTATATATGATAAAGTAAACTATCCACACCTAGCTAATCCGAGGAAACTCAAAGGAGACAGTGAATTAAACGACAGTGAAAAATGATGCTTTACGCTGTGTTATCATGTGTTTTTGTAGCTGTGCACCTTGATATGTGTCTTGAGGGCTGGCATTGTAGAGAAGTCTTTTCTACACACATGGCACCTATAAAACAAAACAGCATGTGCATAAACATATAATTAATCTAATCTCCATACATGCCTATATAAAGAAGACTGTCAAAAGTATATAGATATGTATCATATCTCTCATATGCACACCTGTAAATATTGCAGTTCATTAAAAAGCCTACAATTGTTTCGTTGTCCAATTGTAAGCCCCACCCCTGACCCCTACTTGTCCTATCGTAAGCCCCACCCCTGACCCCTACTTGTTCCGTTGTAAGCCCCACCCTGACCCCTACTTGTCCCGTTGTAAGCCCCACCCTGACCCCTACTTGTTCCGTTGTAAGCCCAACCTGACCCCTACTTGTCCCGTTGTAAGCCCCATCCCTGACCCCTACTTGTCCGGTCGTAAGTCCCACCCCTGACCCCTACTTGTCCTATAGTAAGCCCCACCCTAACCCCTACTTGTCTCGTCGTAAGCCCCACCCTGACCCCTACTTGTCCCGTCGTAAGCCCGAACCTGACCCCTACTTGTCCCGTCGTAAGCCCCACCCTGACCCCTACTTGTCTCATCGTAAGCCCCACCCTGACCCCTACTTGTCCCGTTGAAAGCCCCACCCCTGACCCCTACTTGTCCCGTCGTAAGCCCCACCCCTGACCACTACTTTAAGTCGGAGATTGAGTGTAGACTCCCTTGACTTTTTGCGGGATAAACAAGATAGATTATGCTTAACATTAAACTCATGATCATTAAAATGAAAACATAATTTGAATAAATTATACTGGTCATGTTATGGATATTTTGTTCCTAGACACATAAAGATGTAAAGGCAATGCAACCTTTGCCGTGTAAGGTAACAAGTACTGTATTTCACAGTGATCTACGAACAGTAATTAGCAGTAAATAATATGATAACTATATCAGATATGGGTCGGGAGAAACAATTACAAATGCATAAAGATGCATGCATAATTTTGGAAGGTACTTAATTGTGAGTTTATAAATACCTGAGATTTCGTTTGAGCACATCTTGGAATTTTGAGCTATCCAGCTGAACCTTTCCCTTTTCTTTCAACATCTTCATTATGTCTGAAGCATTTAACGTTTCATTGTTATTTTTTCAAATAGAAACATTTGGCAGTAATATGTAAATGTCATTGCTACAGGTGTTTATTACACTACAGGTGTGTATTACACTACAGGTGTGTATTACACTGCAGGTGTTTATTACACTACAGGTGTTTATTACACTATAGGTGTGTATTACACTGCAGGTGTTTATTACACTATAGGTGTTTATTACCGGTAGAAAAATAGAATGTGCGTGATCTAAAAATCCTATCTATTCTAAACACACACATCTTTCTTATCTCTATGTTACACCATGTATAAACACAGATTTTACTTCAGTGAAACGTAACAAGTAAGATGTACCTTCTGAATCAAAGAAATACTCTGTTGTGAAAGAGTTCCAATGTTTTTTATTCTTCAAGCATGGACTGTCAAAATCCTGGCTGATAACATGTAAATGTAAATGGCTGAAAATACAAACAGAGCAAGGTGTTATAGGTTTGGCAGACAACATACATGTAACATTCAGTGATTTTAAATATATGGATAACCATTTTTAACTTAAATTAAAACTGTTTCAAAGTTAACGAAGGGAATAATATATATAAATAATTTAGTCTTCGAATAGATTAACACATCATTAATTCTCAGCCACATGTGAGTGATATCAACCTGATGACTGTAAAACCATCAAATGCTCTTGATATCTGTTCATATTGAGTATGTATCATTGGTGATGCACATTTGAAATTTTTCAAGAGGATATAATAAAAAAATGATACCAAAATTACAAAAGAAAAGTAAAAAAAAAAAAAAAGTAACATCAAACCTCATGCTTGGAACGGCATGATAACCCAACCGGAACTTCAAAGTTTCATCAGTTCTGAAATATTGAAACAAACAGAAATTTAGTTAGATTTTGAACGGAGTGTAGTCTATTGGGGAAGGCCATAGCATATCTTTGCGTCCAGTAACCCTTCCTTCCCTAGATAGATTCTTGTATCTTAAAAGTACCCTGATTTTTTTATAAAATTTTAAACATGCAATACTGTTCAAGTCAGGATGTATTCTCCATACTCTAGTACCGGGTACCAATGGGCCTGCATAGCTCACCTGGTATTAATCTCACACTTGTAACCTTAAAAGTGTTAAAAGGTTTAAAACTTTTCACCCCTGTGAACTTGAAAGTTGAACAAGGTCATTACAAATTTTATAGCTTCGACTCGGGATGCATTACTTGCAAAAATATCACCACCCGATCCTTTTGTTTATTAAAATTAAGTCATTTAAATGTCTATACATATTTGACCAAATGTGACCTTGAAAGTGGGTCAAGGTCATTCAAATGAGAAAGCTTTATAGCCCTGAATCCAAGCATGCTACTGGCTTAAGATCAACATTCTAAGCCTCATGGTTGTTCAGAAAAAGTTGTTTCAATATTTTAACATATTCGACCCCTGTGACCTTAAATATAATTCTAGATCATTCATTTGAATAAATGTGGTAGCCATTCATCCTAGCATGCTACTGGCCAAATATCAACATCCTGGGCCTTTTGGTTTTTCAGAAGTCGTTAAAAGTTTATTGAACATATTTGATCCCTGTGACCTTGAATAAATATCAAGCTCATTCATTTGAAAAACCTTGGTAGCCCTTCATTCCATCATGTTATGGGCCAAATATCATCATCCTGGGCCTTTCGGTTATTCAGAAGAAGTCGTTAAGGTTTCATACATAATTTACCCCTGTGACCTTGAATAAATGTCAAGGTCATTCATTTGAACAAATTTGGCAGCCCTTCATCCTAGCATGCTATTTGCCAAATATCAACATCCTGGGCAGTTTGGTTATTCATGAGAAGTTGTTTGAAGATTTTGAACATATTTGACGCCACAAATAAATGTCAAGGTCATTCATTTGAACAAACTTAGTAGCCCTTAATCTTATAATGTTATTGTCCAAATATCATTATCCCGGCCTTTTGGTCATTCAGAAGAAGTTGTTTAAATGTTTCAAACATATTTCACTCCTATCTTTGACATTACCGGTATATATAAGTCAAGATAGTTCATTTTAACAAACTTGATAGCCCTTTACCACAGCATGCTACTGGCCAAATATCATCATCCTGGGCATTTTGGTTATTCAGAAGAAGTTGTTTAAAGTTTTTTTTAGACAATTGAACCCTGTGACCTTGAATATGAGTGAAGGTAATTCATTTGAACAAACTTAGTAGCCCTTAATCCCAGCATGCTACTGGCCAAATATCATCACCCTGGGTATTTTGACTATTCAGAAGAAGTTGTTTAACATATCATCCTGCACCTCTCGGTTATTCAGAAGAAGTTGGGAAGTTTCAAACATATTTTACCCCTGTCACCTTAAATATGGGTGAAGGTCATTCATTTGAACAAACTTGGTAGCCCTTTATCCTAGCATGCTACTGGCGAAATATCATCACCCTTGACATTTTGGTTATTCAGAAGAAGTTGCTTAAAGTTTGTAACATATTTGACCCCTGTGGCCTTGTATATGGGTGAAGGTAATTTATTTTAACAAACTTGGTAGCCCTTCATCCCAGTTTGCCTCTGTCCAAATATCATCATCCTAAGCCTTTTGGTTATTAAGAAGAAGTTGTTTAAAGTAAAATATTGATGCCAGCCGAACAGATGGCCCAGGTGAGCTAAAAAGGATGCAGATTACAGAAAATAATCTCACAATTTTTTGTTTGTTTTTAACCAAATAAAAAAAAATTGTACCTGTCATATGTGCCTACAATATCTTTTTTTTTTAATAAATCTTCATAACAAACAACTATTTGTTAATTTTTTGTTAACACTACAAACAATTCTTACCATAATTCAATGAAGCAGTGTTACCTGCTTTGAACATTGATAAAATAATTCCTTACTTAGAAAGAAAATGATAGCACCTGAAGTATTATACATGTTCAGGTAATTATTTTTCAAATGCACATTCAGGTATTTCTTTATGATTATGAGCAGGTAGGTGGAAGATGACCTCCTGATAGCATGCAGTATGTCTTACCTGTGAATGACTTCCTCGCCCTTTTCATGGAGATATTCTAAAAGTTCAAGATGCTCGGGTTTCAGACTGTTCAGATTGGGTATGTTTTCTTTGGGCATAACAAGGAAATGGTGCTTTGCCTGAAGACAGATATTGGAGATGTTATACATTGATATATAACTTAGTTTAGCAACCAGGGTCCTATTATTCATCATATAATTAAGCATCATATTTAAATGAAATACAAATCTTCAAAATGTCTTTTTTGAGGTATCTTTAAATCTGCAAATATTTTTGTATCAGGAATTATTCATTCATTTTCCCTGCTATGGTTAATCCAAAACATATAGTTCTAATTTTGACTTTCGACGTTTCGAAAATATCCAGGTCCTGCTGCACAGTAGCCTTTCGTATTTACAGTAACCTCCCCTTAGTTTCGATTTGGATATAACTAGCACAGTTGGGCCTGGACACTTATGTTGATCAGGTAGCTCAATTGGTAGAAACAACGTTGTTGATTTCGTTTATTTAATTTTTATTATTTCATATGTCCTACAAGGTATGGTTTTCTTTTCTGAAAAAATCTATCAAAGCTATAGTTATGCCAAAAAACCCAGTTTCCAATGTGTAATTTCAGTTTTTTGAAGTGGTATGGGGATCTTTAAACATTAATACATTGTTACAATTGGTTCTACATGGTTATTCCTAATACATGTACCTGTAACATTAAACTATAATAACTTTATAATCTTACTGAAAGTTAATAACATTGTGTAAAAAATTGTATCAAAGTTATCTTTATCATGATCTTAACTGTTTAACGCCATTGACATTTGATCATGAAGCAATTTGTGGCCGACTAATGTTGCAATCAATCTTAAAACATTGATTAAATTTGATTTCCAACATAAACATATACTAACATAACAGTTAACAATCACAATACAATTATCGTATATTTATACAGTGCATTACATCAGAGATATATATATACTATTGGCTTTAATTTATGTCTCTGATTACCTGTAACTCGGTCTCTTAATGAAGTATGTTCTGCTATTTTGGTCAAATGTACACATGGTTCTAAGCAAAATGTGAAATCAACAGAGATCTAAAAAAAAAGCCTGTGAAAACTACACAACTTTCATTATAAAAATGACAGATTAAGTGTGTGTACATGACTGTATGCATACAACTTTTAAGTAACATGTTGTAACAATGTGACAGTCACATATATTACACTTTGGATGATATAAACAAAATAAACACAATAATTAAAGCAGAAATTAATGTTTTAGAAAAGAAAATGCAATTAACCGAAACACGACAGAAAAAGTAACATGATATTAAGCGGAATTAGTTGGTTTAAGTCATAATCAGGCGAGTGCTGACTTCAGCATTCTTCATTCTTGATATATGGAGAAAAAACACCCAGATATAACAACGAACAATAAAAGCAGGAACTTGCATCCCAGAAAACCCCCCACATTAACACAAATAATACATTTATCAGTTTCGTGACATTAGGTGAAATCAACAATCATGATCATTTCAAAGTTTAGGTGATTGCTGATTTCAGCGGCACTCTACTGGCTGTTTTCGTTTCACCTTTGGATATTTGTCTTTTATGATTACAACTTTCTCGTCTACATATTCCTGCAGTTCAGGGTCATCCATAGATGCAAGCAACCCTTTGTTCCAGGCGAAATTCGGCTTCTTTTTAGAACTAGCCCCTCCATTTGCACTTTCGGTTTTTCTTTTTTGACCACAACCACTCGAGGCAGCCATGTTTATGTTTTTGCCATATTGAGATGTAACGTTATGTTTCATTAGTTCCTTTTGAACAATCCACCAATCAAAATACGTTTCACAAGGACAGGAAGCACATGGCAGCTGATCGATGTAAACTTCCGGTTGAGTTTTCAGGGACTAAAGATGGTAAGTACAGTCAGTATTAATTGAATAATCAGCTGATTATGCCATTTAACAATCTAACAAGTGTATGTTCATTATACGAGTGAATCAGTCTAATCAGTAATTTGTCTGGTCAAATATGATAAATGTAACAGGCTAAAAGATCAATTGTGTAAATTTATTTTGATAACAATGCATTTTAACGCAAATGTCAATTTTTTCTTAGGTAACGTAGTTACATATATATAACTACACCAAACAATGTAATCCATGTACTGTCACATTCTATTTTTAGATTTTACTCGCCAATACAACACAAGGATTACTTTGTTACAATACAATAAATGACAAGAGGAACAGGGGGTTAGATAACATTTTTTTTTTTATTTACAATGTAATAGTTTAATATAATTCAGTAAATGTGATGAGAACCACAAAAATGACTTATCTGTACATTACACACATTTTTTTATTGAAGAGAAATGTTACATTCCAGTGCATTCTCTCAAGTGAGGATTTTCCGACCCAAATGGGTACTACTGTGGCAGGGTTCAATTGTACATAGGATTAAGGTCGCCTTCTAGCTTGGAATGGGTTCGACGATTTACAGGAACGGGCAGGAACGGGCAGCAATCTATTAATAATTATATACATTAATGAATATATATATTAGATACATTTAAGTATCATTATCGGGTATAAGATCTATTTGATAAAAGGATTGCAATTACATGATCGGGGCAGAATCGGACTAAATTATATATATACATTTATGACGATATTACTTATGATACCTACATTTATAGTATCATATATTTTTTT